AAGCGAGGTCAAGCCAGAGTGGATTTTGAGGGTAATACAAAGAACTAAGTCAACGAGCTAGCTTCTTCCGAAGAGATACAAAATTTTGCTGGATTCAAAAGTGAGAAAGAAAGTTTTGCTGCTTTGATCAAGCTCATAACCCTGGCCAACTAGCGTGGCTTTGGCGAAATGGCTAACTTTATCGTTTCTCTTCCGCTTCAGATTGCTTGAAGTTTTTATACACAGAGTGATATTTTTTTTTCTGTTCTCATGGATCTGTCGTTTTTCTGAGCTTTCAGTTCATTCCTTCCGTTTCAATTAGTTGATCTGTCTTCCATGTTTTCGCGCATTCAGGATTGGAGAGTATGCGTCTTCCAACATTCACAGTCATTCATCTGACAATCATCCTTGCTTAATCAACCCTTCGAAATTGGGTGTTTCAGAGCAAAAATCTTAGAATATGGTATAGTTTTGAGCGTGGGAGGTATGCTTTTCAAGTATCAAAGCACAGAACAGGACAACAAATAATTCACGAAAAAAACTACGGAATTTCAAGGATTAGAAAAAATTCCCGAAGCTTTTATGTTTTTTCAGTAAAAAAATCCTCAGTTTTCTACCTGTTTCAGGACAAAAAGTTGCAAAATTCTCACTCTCTTAAATTTTGCTGACGGAAGTGAAATGAAGGGGGTAAATCGAAACAAATCAATGTTCTTTTCCTTTTTTCACACTTTCACTGGCCTCATACCTTATACCGAGATTTACTGTATTATGAAGTATAGTGCTATTATTCCATAAATTTGCTCCAAGACTCTCGAAATTTCAAAGCCGAAATTTAATAATTCATCGTAATTCAAGGTATCATTTTTGCAAGCCCTGTTTTCGATGGATCGTTCCACCATTCCTCGTTTTCGTCCGTCTTTTCCTCGCATTCAGATCCTGTATGCATATCCAATTGTTATGAACAATATTTAATCGATGACATGCACATATGTATTATTATTATCATTACATGACCATTATGATTGTAAATTGTTTATCTTTGGCATAAATCAGCATGCGCATACAATACGTGTGAACCGCATGAGCTGCAGAGGAGAAAATGAGGCTTAGTACAATCGCAATAATGCGTAATTGCTCTTGGTCCCGACTGGGTGCCTTGAATGTTAAGTTGGAGTTGGATATAGCTGATTTTTCGAGACCTCTTACTTATCCACAGCTTGAAATGATATTCCAAATCTAAATTGTTGTTGAGCTACGGAAAAACTAGAGGTTAGTTTCCGGGATGGGTTAATCTAAAAGTGGTAGAGCCTCAAATTTTTGCCGGAAGCACATTGTAGAGAGAAAATACGGGGACAACGGAGAGGAGGTGAGGGATGTATTTATGATTTCTAGCTTAATAGCGTTTCTGGCTGTGTGATTGCGAATTTTTTCCAGCAAAAAATTTTGTAAGTGTGTAAACACCAGAGAAGCGATTGCAGTGTTCGTCAGTTTCTTGCTTAAAGCTGTCTAAAATTTAAAGAAAACACAGAATCTTTGCTGAGAAGTGGTAAGAATGGGTTCTTGGTGTTGTAATCTAAACAGTCATTCTTCGCGTGGATTAAGATGATACTGAAAAGCAAATAAGTTATGTGAGACATCCGAGGCTTGGAATGCTGCGAGAAGTGGATGTGAAATTTGTGACGGCTTCTGAATCTCATAAACTGGAAATCCTAGGCACTAAATCCTACCAAGTTCAAAATCCTGAATATCTAGAAAAAGTCAACTTCACCAGATTTCTTTTTTTGGTCAAACAGTAAGCAAAACCAAAAAAAAAAAAAAACAGTCAAAACTGTGAAATGAACAAAAACAGCGGAAATAGCATGACCAAAGAAATAAGCAAAAATAGCTATGGAATGAAGAAATTAAGGAAAAAATTGACGAAATTTTAAATTCAGAGATATTAGTGAACTGTAAAAGAATGTTTCTGTCCGTCAAATCGTATATATTTCTCGCTGCATCGGTCTTTGGCAGGAAGTTATGTTGCACACAGGTATCTCTACAAATCACTTAAAAACATAGGAATAGGAATAAATGGCACAATAATATAAAGCTTTCGGGAATATTAACTTAAAGCGCTTAAGTTTAGTGAGTATCAAGGTAGGGGGGTCCGATTTTGATGATGGTACTGAAACAATTCAACATTTTAGCTGGATTTATGCCAGGCTTTTTGGTCCTTTATGCCTACAATTACTACTAACTTCCTCTCCCGTGTATGTGCGCCACCCCTTCGAGACTACCCGAGTGGTCAATCGCTACTGTGTGACGTCCACCACCAGCTAGTGGACCATCAAATTACATAAATACGAAAATTTTCGTAAGCATAAAATTTTCGCAAAAATCACAAATGTAACAGTCTTCTTCCATCTTAGCAGTGATCCCCTCATCGATGATTAAAATGAAAACATTGCTGAATGAAACTCTCCGAGATGCTCTTCCCGTCATACATTCACCATCGAATGCAAACAACTGTAAAAGGTTAGCAAACATCTTCGTTCAATAATTTATTTCTAATTTCGTAATTTTTTCATGTATTTTTTAAATTTACTCGCAATATTCGCAGACCCACACATGCTGTTCTTAGCACCCTAAAGCAATAAAATGATTTAGTCGGAACTGCTGACTATAACCAGAAGCTTTCGAGAAATTTAGAAAAGAGCCGAGGAAAGAACCATCGACGGTCTTACCAGCGTGTGGTTACTGTTGGCATTTGCTACCACTCGAGCTGCTCCCACAGTGGCTCCGTCCCTCAAAAAATAAGAAAACTGGAAGGATCTTGAGTTTGATTAGAGAAAGGATGCCTCTTTCTTTCCCATGTTCTTGAAAATTTCAGTGAGAAGAATGTGCACTTTTGGGAAAGAACCGCAAAAACGCCTTTTGTTGAAAAATGGCATATAGTTTAAGAGAAACATGAAAACATCAATAATTTTTAAAAAATTCTGAAATTTTGCGAGTGAGACTTGGAAAAAGAAGCATATTCCTAATTGCTTTTGCCATGTTTTCTCTCTCTTTCCAGCTGTTTCAGTGATCGGCGGTTTTAAGTGCGACAGACGTACCATCACAAAAACGCGTGTTTTATGCCCCAAGAAATTACAGATCAGGCAAGTGGTAATGATGCTGTATTATGATTCACAAGTAGCAATAATAATGATAGTAATTACAGTAATAGTACCAATAATAACAATAATAATGACAATAATAATAACAAAAATAATGGTAACACATATTAATTTTAATAATAATAGCATGTTAATTTTACTTTTGCTGCATAACCTTTGCGCAAATCTTTTTTGTAGTTCACTTGCCGTAAAACCATAAGAAAATGAATCATGTTTTGTCTGATTAAAGTAGCCATATTGATTATTCCCTCATTAAAATGAAGGTACTTGAGGTGCAAGTAGAAACCCTCACATTTTTTCTACAAAGAAAAACAATAATGGCACTTTTTTACTGCTCGAACTCATCCAGAAAACTGCTTCCTAAAAATGCTAACGATGGATCGTCAAACAGCAGTTAATCACAGGCGAGGTTGTTAATGGCTACTTTGGGAATTGCTCTGAAACAAACCAACAGGGAGGTTTGTCTTCCCATTGTAAGCAAATGCCAACTGCTGTCAAAACGAGTGAACGAATTGTAGAGGGACTGGTTGCCAAACTGGCACAGTGAAAACCTAGATTTTGAGCTTATGGATACCGCTCCTTGCTACCCCATCATATCTGCCAGCCGATGAATCGTCTTTCACGAATTACTTGAAGAAAAATGAGGAAAAGCAATTTAAATTCCCGGCA